CATAAAGTCCACAGTTTGATTATTAAATTAAGTCTGTAACAGAAACATTTCTTCGGTTTATGAAATATTCTTCTCCTCTGTAACAAATGCAACTTTATTGAATCGTTTATAGATTCTGTTAGGCAATAGTGTTCCATTCCGAACATTTTTCATACTTTGTATGTATTGGAACGTGCAGACTTGAATGTGAAGTGTTTTTAAACTTCACATAACGAATGCTATTTATATCGAATTGTCTACCATTTAAATTCCAGCAATCAGATTTCGCAACCAGGTCGGATCAACATTAGAGCTTTTAGCTTTCTGAATAGCCTTTTGTGCGAAACGGAGCCATGAAATACGATTCTTGCGCCGCGGCTAACGGTTCCAGAAGCACAGACACTAAATTCTGAAGTGGCAAACGACTCGGACTTGGATAATAATTCACAACTCTGGGTGGGTTGTTCTGCATGTCGGTTGTGCAATATATCAGTACGAATATACCGGTTAATGAACGGTGCAACGATAATTACCGTGTAATTATGGGTTTACGTAGTTGACGAAGGAAGGGTGATCAGCTCGTTACAGTTTTATTTGATACCTGCATCTGAAATACGTAGATCAGAAAGGATCCCGCGAGGTATCGATTTGTGAGATGTCCATACATCAGTCTGTTAGTAATTGTCTCAATTATCTAAGATTCGATCCCCTAAATCATCTCTCTGATTACAGGATAAAATAGTACGCATAATATTTACATGCGTACGCATATAAATACGCATATAATATACGCATATATTTATAAAGAACATTCTTAATCAGTTAGCTGTATTTGACGAGTATACTTGTCATGGAGTATTTTGTGTCATGACGAGTATTGGCTATTTAAGTTGCAATTGTAGTGAAAATAAAACCATATTCTCAAATTTCAAGATGTTTGGAATATTTTGAGACCAGGTCAGAATAAAACAAACAAATAAATATATTATAAATGCATTATTTTCTTTAAATATTGTTATAACATATTATAATAAATATACTATATGAATAATTTACGACATTGGTGTTCAATATACAAAGCGTCATTATGTATCGTTCCTCGTTTGGCTGAATACCACTCTACAGCAGCAAATTGAATTTTTACCTTTTATAAGTATTTGATTTTTCCTGCGTTTTTCGATTATTATGTATGTAGTATATGTTAATGTTCAGTGAATAAGTAAATATTAGTAATAAAATTGTTAACTTAATAATATAAAATTAATGCGTATAATGCAGTTAACACACAATATCAAATTCATTCTGATTAAGAAATTTTACGATTCAAAATATTATATACATACATATGTTAATGTGCGATCATTAACATTTTTCGGATAGCAATTCAATTTTTTAAATAGAGAAAAGCGAATGACGGTTTTTATATATTTTACTCAATGTATCGAAGAAATACATCATTTTTCAAATTAAAATTCCGATGATTGAATAAGTATCGAATTTATATATAGATTCATTTATTTGAATTCAATTCGTCAAGGAACTCTGCAAAAGCAGAATTACTTTGCGAATAATCTGCGAATGAATTAGTCGCAAAGAAATTATTCGTGAATAATTTATTGACGAATAAGGTGATAGTGATTTATTCGTGAACAAAATTTTACGCGAGTAAAATCGTTCAATTATTCAATCATTCTAACAATCATCTAGATAAAAAGTTATTCGAACAATGCTCAACACTGCCTTACCTAATATCATCCAAATAATTTAGCTCATCGGCACCGTGTTAAGATTAAGGCGCTGTTCTACCACGCGGAGGGGAAAGACAAGGATTGTTCCGCATGTATCCGATACCGTAACGAGCGAAAACAATGATTCATTGGAAACATCGAAAGAACGATCGGGATCATCTTTGTTATCGCGTAAGGAGATCCATCCGGCCAAGGCTCTATAGTCCTCGCAGGTACAATGCATCCATTGGGTGAGTGACTGACGGCCAATCTCTCCCCTCCCTCCTTCCTCCACCTGAGAACACGTTTGGCTAGATCCTGCCAGCAAGGGGTACCAAGGGTGCTTGCGTTTCGACTCGGTCTACGCGCTGCTGGTGGCCGGCGAACATTCGTACTAAATTCTCCTGTATATCTTCTTGCTCCGCCGCATACTGTGACAGAAATTATATCTTCCTTTCATCGTTTTTTTTTCTACCTGCTTATTGCCGACGCCAGTTAACTGACCATTTTAAGAGAATGAGAGGTTATCGTGCGGGGTTGATCAATAATACCGGTGTATACATGTGTTTTCTTGCCGCGTACGTCCCATGTGGTACCACCGGTCGTTGCGTGTCCCGCGGGCTATCGTCTCAAAGAAGAAATTTTCTGAGAGAACTGTTTTAGGAGGGGATGCTGATGCAGCTTGGCATTTGCTTTCGTCGAGAATGCTAATTGTCGTCGAGTTGGGTAAGTGTAATTGAGAAGGCACGGCGGAGAGCGGTAAAGATAATTTGTTTGTGTTGGATGTCGTTCAAAAACTTTGATCTACAGTCATTTCTCCCTAATTTGAGTTCACGTTGCGCATAAAAATGGGCGATTTCGGAAGAGCTGATACGATTATTCGAGCCTTGCTTCTTGTTTTTATAATTGTTGACATTCGGTAACTATAAAAAACGAGCCGCGAGGCTCTTGGCAAATTATCCATTTTTGTGCACAATCTGAACGCGAATTAGGGAGTAATTACTGTACCCCGTTGAGCGACTTCTTTGTCATTTTTTGTGATTTGTTGCGATATTCAACTGAATGGAATATTATGGAATAGTATGGAAATAGAGTTGGGCAGTAATCGATTATTTTGTCATTACTTTTTTAATTGATTACGAAATGTAATACTGGTAATCCATTAATCAATAAATCGTTGCTAGAACAAATTAGTAATCATGATTACATTGAGAAATTTGTAATCAGTGATCTGTGATTTATCCTCGCCACTTGCTATTGTGGATTCGGCTGAGGGGCCCAAATAAAAAATTCCGTTGAATCATGAAACATATGCAGATTGTCTGAAAACTATTCAGAATTATTATTATATATTTATATAATATATAATATACAACAATATATAATTATATTATATATAATTATTATTTATATATTTATATTATATATTATATAATTATATATTTATATTATATATTTATACAATTATATATAATTATATTATATAATATAATATATAATAATATATAATATATTTATATTATTATTATTATATATTATAATAATAATATAAATAATAATTTTTCAGTTAATCATAATGAAAAAAGTAATCGTTACATGATTAATGATTACTGCGTTAATCGTGACCAGCGATTACATTTTCTTCGATTACTCAAGTCATGTTATTCGTTAGTCATGATTACTTGATTACTCAAGTCATGTTATTCATTAATAAGGATTACTTGATTTCTCGAGTCATGCTATTTATTAATCAGGATTACATGATTGGTTAGTAATTGTCAATTTGACTCCTAAAAGTTGATTAGCTAGAAGGTCTAGGTAGTTTTTATATAGATCCGAAACACCATAGAAAGGTTAAAATACGAGAAAATAAACAAATTAACATGGTCTGGACTGTAGAAAGATTAAAAACAATTGCGAAAAATGTAGGGTAAGTGTATCAATTTCTATGCTT